AAGGAAAGACCGCAGATTGCCATATGTTGCTTAGAATGATTAGGTAAATTAAAATGTCTAGCGACTGGTTTCGATGTGTCCTTGTCATTCCTTTCCACGTCTCGAAGGTGTTCTCGGAATCGGTCACCTAGTCTTCTGCCTGTTTCGCCGATGTATATCTTTTTGCAATAAGTGCAAGTTATGCAATAGATTACATTGGCGGAGGTGCACGTGAAGTGATCGGTGATCTTAATGGATCGTTTAGGTCCCGATATTTTATCAGTGTTGTGAATGAAAGGACACGTTTTGCATCGTGCACGAGCGCATTTAAAAGTGCCTGGTTGGTCATTAGTCTGAAAAGAACTTCTGACCAAAAAATTGCCTATGTTTTTGTCGCGTTTGAATGAAATGAGCGGAGGCTGCGAAAAGATAGTGCTTGTCTCTGGATCGTTTTGAAGTAATTTAAAGTTTTTAAGAATGATGGATTTAACTGAGTGGTTGTGAGGGTGAAACATGAGAGTGAATGGAATGCGGTCGGAATCTTCCTTATGCGACGTTTGTAGTGCTGAATGTCGATCAATAAGTTGGGCGCGGTGGTAACCCCCTTGAACGACAGGAATAGGGTAACCACGTTTATCGAAAAACTGGCACATTGACTGATTTGTGGTGGAAATCAGAGTCATCACAGCATAAACGACGAAGTCTTAGAAACTGAGAAAAAGGAATGGAATTCTTAACGTGAGATGTTCGCGGGCATAAATATGTTGTGGGCTCAGTTCTCTGCAATCTTTTGAGCTCGAGCCATTAGGGCGCGGCTTAAAAATGAGTTCTGTAAATGGCCCAAAACATAATTATGCCCAAGAACATAAATTGTATTACTATCATTATCACTGGGAGGGGATCGAGGAAATAAAAACTAAAAAAAAAAAATAACAACAACACAGTCTGAACAGTCGCTTAAACGCGCAAGCAGGTTAAAGTGCATTTTAGACCGCCAAAATCTCCATTTTAGCCCGCAAAATGCACCACAATGCCCGACAAAGTGTTCATAACATTTGTACCTCAAGCTACGTGATCAGGGAAAGTCATTACCTGTTGTGTATTTATCAAAAACCATCAGCCAGGGCTCCTGTCAAAAACTCAAAAGTTTCGCAAAATTTTAATTTGTTTGTTGCCTTCTTGTTTTTGTTAATTTTTGCATTATTTTTCTTAGTGCAAAACTAAGTTATTTGCCTGAAATAAATTAACTTGTATTTCAGAAGTCATATGTTGATTCTTTTTTTTTTTCAAATCACAATCTTAAATTTTAATTTTCAAGATGATTTTTTTGCTTTCAGTACGGAGAACTCGCCTAGCTTCGATGCGGCGATTCGAAATCACTTCGTTCCGGATTTACCTCTAGTGTGAAATGTGTTTTGACATACCGCTGACTATCGACATCGCGGTGACAAGAAAATTACATGCATTGACATAATCAATCAATTTCTAGCGCATTACAAAAGCATTTAATGATGCGGTTGCATTTGAAACGGGGCTCGAACATTTACAATCCACGAAAATATCACCACTCATAGCTGGTTAAGAATTCGATAAGAGCTCTTTGCTGTAATCAACGATCAAGTTCTTTTTTTTTGTCCTTTAGTCTTTAGGAGGAGGGGGTGGGGGGAAGGGAAGTGAAGCGTTATGCTGTATCATTATTATTTACTCTTTGTTTTGTTTTTGTTTTTTTTTTAATTTTTTGGTTGCCATGATATTTCAAGCGTTAGTGGAAACATAACGTCGAGTTGTTTCTCTTTACATTAGAGGAAAGGAGAAAAGGAAAGGAGAAAAGGAAAGGCGAAGAGCAAAGGCGATCAGGAAAGAAGAAGAGGAAAGAAGAAAAGGAAAGGAGCACAAAATAAACAACAACAACAACAACAACAAAAAACAAATATCAGACATTACAAGAGTAAAATTGAAACAACAGTAAGGCTAACGTTTCTTTTCATGGACTACGTTGTATATTTTTGGACACCAGCCTAGAAAATAGGAAGGAGTTCAACAACTCTAGACTAACTTGGAAACATCTAAACTGGCCCTAAGAGTGATTAACACCTAATAAGTTCTCCTTACAATATCACCCCTGAATCATACATTAAGGTCAGGGGAATAGAGGAAATGATCACTAACTAAATAAGTACGTATACTTGAATTTTAAACTGATCCGCCTCATCAGCATCCAAGAAAATGCGTATAATTTTAGGATTAAGCGAGGTCAGGGAATAGGAGAAGAAATAAAGATAAACATGATAATCCTGTTGCGAAATCAATCAATATCTCAGCTCTATCCTAGTGAATAAACATCACAAGATGCAAATTTGTTTCAATGGAAGACCCAAGACAATAGGTCGGATAACTACTACGTAACAATACTCAACAAAAAACAAATCTCAGTTACTGACCTTGCGGTAAATCATTGCTGATAAAACAATCTGATCTAATCCAAGCAAGAAGTAAGGTTCTCACGAATATAAGGTAAGGGAGAAATATCGAATGGGTATCTGCAATAGCATCCCCCAGGCCTTCTAAGAGTGTTTCTAAGTTGTCTGGACGTTTTCAGTTTGAACTTGCGTAACCTACAGCACTGTTTACAATGACCTCAATGTTCGTGACATGTTCAAAATCTTGGTCACTGTAAATCAGAGCGACAGCATCTCAAATAATTTCGCCGTGATTTGATGATTACGAGACTTTCAGCTTTGGTATATACGGAGTGCCGTCATAGGAATGCGTATTACATGGGAATGAGTTCTGCACGGTTACATTACTTTCTTACCGAGCTTGTAAGAATGGACTTTAGGAATCTTTTATTATATCCGGTTACTTAAGCTTTGCGAAATCTCTTCGAGCGGATTATTGTTCAGAGGCAAAAGCTAAGCAGCGTGCAAATGTTTTAATCTCAAAGAGGGCTTTTACAGAGCTCTTTCAAAGTTCCAATTTTCAACTCAGGATATAACTTTGGTCATGATCAATTGACGTTGTATTCAAATGTTTATAATTACTTTAGCAAACAAGTTACTTATTAAGTTATTATTCACGAAATCTATGATTGGTAAATAAGGAGTTTGTAACCCTTGGGGTTTGTAAACCATTTCTAGACCTAACTGCTGTGTGTCCCATCACTTTGAGTTGCTCACTGACGGTGTTCTCCTCGATGTCCTTGAGTCTTGCCTGTTCAGGTACATGCCTAGCACCGTGTTCCAGTTCATTGTATTATTTTCACTGCATGACGCTAACCTGTTGCCACAGAATTTTGATAATAATGTCGAATTTAGGGTACACTGCATTTTATCATATCTCCAGTTAGAACGTGCACTATTATTGGTCAATTTAAAGGGCCGCCTTTCACTGTACGATGGGTCAGGGGAATTCAAAAGTTGAAAAAAAGGCCACAAGCGAAAAACATAAACACAAGCCAGCAAGCTGACTAACCAGAATCTTTTGCTCTAAGCAAGGTCTTTGCAACACTAGCAGACAAGATGAGTAGCTTACCACTATTTAATACAACAACTTCAAACTTTAGAGCACTGAAATCCGTGCAAAAATCAAACATTGCAAGGCAAAGTTAAAAAATTGAAATTCGCTGTTCTTTTGCACATAATTAGCCTGTAGAAAGTATACAATTGCTGTGTATTTTTTCCCTTGAAAAAATTATTTGTTTCCGATAAAACGAAAACGTTTCGTTTTCAGTCCCGGGATCAAGTTGGCGACACCGAACAGGTTTAAAATAGGTCATGATTCACTTGACTCGCGTATCAAAACAACTGCGCTAGAAAAAGCTATTATAGTTCCAAGTGGTTGTATAACTTGTCATAGTCTTAACACCGTGATTTCATAAATATTAGATTAATCCCAGTATTCAAGAGAAGACAAAAGCTTCTGGCTCTCCCGTGTTGCGTAAAACGGTTGGCGAAAAACAAGCGTGCGATAATTTTGAGCATGTGATTTTGTTCAGAATTTCGTAAGATTACGAATGACAATACTAGAGTTGATGATCTTTCAAAATATTTAAAGTCTAGTTTGGGGAAATGAATTTGGGATTTTTAGCAAGTTTTTGAAAATCGTAAAGAAAGACAAAATCGCGCCATCCTATTGTGTACATGTGACCATCAAGACATCGATATAATAAAAATTAGGATGGCTCTGATGCCTATAGCAAAGTAAATGTAATAACCCCAATTCAAATATTATATTCTTAGCTGTTCGCAAGAGTCCAAAGTTTTCCTCTTTTTTAATTTTAATTTTTAATTCGTTACTTTGAAATAGCAGATTTCTCTTTTGATCGCTAATAAACTATTTTACCAGGAATTTTTATTTCTCGTTACTTACTTTTGAAGAATCGAACATCTCAACTTTATGTAATTAAATGAACCTCATTAGTGCATGCTTATTTGCCACGTGAACTAGAAAAAGATTCTAAATTTAAGATAAACAATATTTGCGTGTTCCTGCTCTTGGGGAAACGATGGAAGTTTTTTTTTGCTCTTTCTGGAGTATAGTCGGCAGTCCATGTTCGTAAATTTATCATATTATATGGTCCCGCTGTGCAAATTACGTACTACTTCTGTCACTTAAAACCATCGAGACCTCTTTCCTGTTTTGTACTGATTTGATTGAAAACTTCGGAACAACGGTCGTGAAAATCAAAAGAAAAGAGACATATGGCATAAAGACTCAATCTTGGCCACTGATCCATCCTATGTACCAATTGCCTGATATACAAATTTTGTGTTGCTATGCAAGCGAAACTTACTGTTTGCATATAGTCTCAAAACGGATTCACGGTAAACTGCATGGGAACACATGCTTGAACTAATTGGCCTTATTGTCAGCCCTTTCACGGTTTCCTTCATAATTTTTAGGAAAAATTGTATTAACAGTATAAAGAGCACAAATGTGAAAAGTGAGCTACGAAGAATTCGTCGAAACCTAAGCCGGTTTTGATCGTGGCTGCAGCGGTGGGCTTCTCTGTTCATGATAAACCTCACGAATGAAAGTAAACAAATGATAAAATGAAGCACTCTGAAAATTCGAGAATATCATATCCAAGTTGAGGTCAGTATATTTGCATTGTTCTTTACGCTTTTTGAGTTTCCAGGGTTTTTAAAACGAAAACGATTTTGTTTTTGTTAATGGTCACGCATTAACATCATGGCGTTATTTTATGTATTTCGTTGATGATTTTCAACAAATTCTTAAAAAAATTCCTCATTCATTTCCCTAAAGTAAACTTTAGATATTTTGAAAGATCGTTAACTCGGGTAATGTTATTCTTAATCTTACGAAATTCTCAAGAAAGGCACACGCTCCAAATTATCGCCCTTTTTCGCCTACCACTTTAAGAAGCACAGGAGAGCCATAACTTCTTTACTTCTCTTGAATACTCAGATAAATCTAGTTATACAACAAATTGGAACTGTGACAGCTTTTTCTAGCGCAGTAGTTTTGACAAGCGAGTCGAGTGAATCACAACTAATTTCAACCCTGTTTGCACGTGTTTGGGATCGCCAAATTGTGCGGCCTAAGTTAAAAACGGCTTCCTTCGTTTTTCTAAGAGTTGAAAGATATTTGAAGGAAAAATCTACGTGGCATTCATATAATTGCTTAAGACTATCTATATGCAAAAGACGAGGGAATTTGATTCTTTTCAGCTTTGCCGAAGATTTGCGATTTTGTTTGATTCTTGCCTGACGGATCTGCTCTCAAAAGGATTGATGGGCAAAATGCCACATTAGATTCATCCCAAATAGCAATAAGTATAAACGTACATAAATGAGGAACAAAACCTTTCACCGCACTAGGCACTGGTGAAATTACAAACAAACACTTTCACAAGACAGTACACTGTTAAACTTACGGAAAATTAGTCAACAAGAACCCACTCAGTGGGTTCTTGATGACTAATTTTCCGTAAGTTTACCCGCGGCAGCCAGTAATGGCCTTGTCTTTGATAGCTACTGTTACTGTCGTCAAGCTAGACTGAACAAACTTAGCGAAGTGCTTCTAGTGTTTCTATGTGAAGTCCTACTGGCAGTGGTCTCTCGACGGCGACTTATAGAAGAGAACAATGGGGCCACCCCTCCCCCTTGCGGCCCATTGGTTTTGTTGCAAATGCATAACAGAAAATATAGTAATTCTCATCATTCACTATTGAGAAGGCGTGGCATGCTTTTAAACCTTTAGGAGACGAAACTCAGTATATTTGCGATTCGACAAAATGTCCCTTCTTCAAATGAATAAATAGGGTATGTAGAAAATCCGTTAACATTTTAGAGCTTTCCTGAAAAACAGCACGTTGAAGATTTTTTTTTTTTAGCGGAAGGCACCGCGAAGGTTTGATCGAGTCAACTAAAAAATGCTGCCCAAGATCGCAATGGAATGATTTCGACCAAGACGCACATAGTACTGAAACACACTATATTTTGTGACCATGCATGTGACAGCACCATTTTATCCACACATGATTCATATTTATCTAATGAATTATGATATCTTAAGGAGATTGACGTTTTGTCTCGATGCTACGAAAAAAGCTTCCAACATGGAGACGCTATCTCACAGTGGAGCCCGTAATATTTTTCTACGCCTACGGTCTGGTGATGAGCAGGCCGATATTTGGACAGTATGTGTACAGCGTCATCAGCCAATTGAAGGGTTTCCCCTACGAACAGTTGCTGTTGGAAAAAGAAGGGCTGGGATGTCAAGAACATTTTGCTGGTGCAAACAATACTTTGGTGGATCTGGAAAAAGAGGTGAGATGTCATCATTCGCTTTCAGTAATTGAATGCTAGGTTGCAATGTCCTTTGCTTTGACGTTCTCAATCCCTCAATTGCGACAAATGTCCTTTACCGATATTATCTTATTCGCCAAAATTCATGTATTGAAACATCTTGGTAAAAAAATAATGTGACTTGACGAGTTGGTAATATTTCCAAGCCAGTAGCTATCTCCGATGTATCTGCATTTTGGTTTATTGTAATATTTCCCTTGTCATGCATGGCTGGCTTCGCGATCGGGTAAGATGGGCCATCCTCCAGCCATCTTGACTTTACGATTGGTCAATGATCCAGATATCTGGAGAATGTCTTGAAAAGTGAAGTTGTGAGTAGTAAGGGACACGTCATTATTTATTGCTGGGAAGGGAGGGGGGTTGAACTCATGGTTTTCAGGAGGAACGGCGAAGCGGGGATCAGTCGTCACCAAACAGAGTGTAAAGGAGGGACTATTAAAAATTCACTGCCAATCAACTGCCAATTAGGAAGTGCCAATTAAACCTTAAGGGATTATGTCCCTCAGTCATAATGGACTGCGTAAACTACTAATCGAGTTGTTTGTACCTTGCGTCGCTTTAAAAGCATTGGATGTTCCATTGGGAAATAGTTTAAAAACAAAATATCCTCAAGCAATAAATGATTCTCTTCGAAATCCACCATTTCTTAGGTACAAAGTCTTGCAACTAAAATCGACACAGGAAACATGTTCTTCTTGGCCATTCCTTCGCTCATAATGGCACCATTTTGGGGTCCCTGGACTGACAAATCTCACCGGAGGAAACCCGCTCTCCTCGCCCCTGTGATTGGTGCATTTCTTGGCAGTGTGGTCATGCTCATGGTCATGTACTTTGAATGGCCGCTGTACGTGACGTTTATTGGCTCAGCGCTAACTGGATTATCTGGTTTTCTAACGACCCTCTCGTTAGCAGTAATGTCGTATATCGCTGATACCACTGAAAAGAACGAGGTCGCTTTTCGGCTTGGTAAGGAAAATGTACACGACTGATACTAGGCAGGTTGAGAGGATTTACCACATTTTTCACGCTACCGGTCCCGGGCGAATCTAGCATTATAAACCTCTCACATATTGAATGGTTATATCTCGCATTGCACATCCCCCACAGATCCCGGGAAAATATGACATTCCACAGGAGGATTCCTTAGTGTTATTGAGTGGTGAAGAGATCATCATAACATTTACTATGAAAGTAAACAGCTTCATATGGCTACAGATCTATAAACTTAAAGCCGATACAAAATGCAATCGTACAATTTCAGGTGTTTGGTTTGGGTTGTAATCATATGCACTCTTTACAATAACTTCTGTGGTGTATTTGCTTTGTACCCTTATTTTGCAGCCATCATACAGATGCTTATCTTCATGGGAGGTGTCGTGAGCCAGTTGACCAGTGGTTTCTGGATCCACAGATTCGGATTCATCATACCTACGTGGATCATCCTGGGATGTAATTTAATATCTGGCCTCTGGGTCATCTTCCTAGTTCCGGAAAGCCACGAGAAAGCTAGCCACGAGAAACACAATTTCTTCGATATCAAGAGCTTAAAGGTTCTTGTCAACGTCTTTAGAAAGGAAAGGGAAGTCGGAAGGAAAAGTTTGCTTCTACTCGTTGTCCTTGGCGCTATTATCACCCTAACAACAATGGGCCTTGGAGGTGTAACTGATCTTTTCGTCATGAGGAGCCCCCTTTGTTTTGGTCCCAAACTCGTTGGGTATTTTTTGGCATACAGAATGTTCTTCAGTGGAGTTGGAGGAGCCGTTGGTGTCAAGTTGCTTGGGAAGTTTTTCAGCGAGTTAACTGCTTGCGGAATATCAATTGTCAGTCAGATTGGTGAAATGGTGCTCCTAGCGTTCTCAACTCGCACCTGGTTGGTTTTTGTTGGTGAGTATAAAGAGTGAAAGAGGGACGTGGTAGCCAATTAGTCAGCGCGTTAGGGTCCGGGTCGAAAGATCTGGGTCCAAGGCCGGGAAGGTCACTGTGTTCTACTCCTGGGAACGGCACCTTACCCACACAGTGCCTCTTTCCACCGAGGAATAAACGGCACCAATTGCTGGGTGGTAGTATAGCTTTGTGATGAATTAGCAACTCATCTAGAGACAGTAGGCGTACTTCTGGCTACTTCATGCTGCTGAAACCGAAATAAACTCCGCGGGGCTCTCTGCCTCGTGAACTGACTGATGGGTTCTACTCAGTAAAAAAGTTGAGATTTTTGGCGAGGATTGTCGCTCTTAAAAGCTTATAAACCCTACAATGTACGTAGGGACTACGTAATTTGCTAAAAATCAGTTTCAGGCTTGGTTTGCACCACAATTTTCTGGAATCTTTGCCGCCTCAAGGTTTTTTTCATGTGCATGTGCTATTGATCACAGTTTTTATGAATACTTTCTCGTTTAAATTCAAGTTTCTAGCGAGGCTTGGCGTAGAAATTGGATATCCTGAAATTTAAATTTACCGTAAGGAATTTTGCTGCGAGGTAGAGGTCGTCCATTGGCGCTATTCCTATCCTGTTTTTTCCATCTCCATTTCTCATCCTTTTAGAGTTAAAAAGAGAAAAAATATTAATGCTCCTGAGAGTAGTGGCGCACCATCACTTGAAATAGATGTTTTAAGTTTTTCAACTCCTTTGTCCTTTCAGCACCAATGCTGGGCTGCTTTAAATCATCTGTCAACCCAATTATCGCGAGTATTTTGTCAAGGATAGTTGGTGATGACGAGCAAGGTATGTACGGCTGTAAAAAAACAAATGAAACAAAAAGAGAGACAGATGGGCAGACAGCCAATAGATGGATAGACAGACAGACAATCAGACAGATAGACAGATAGACAGATAGACAGATAGACAGATAGACAGACAATAAAGAACTGATGGATGGAAAGACAGACGGTCTGACTGACGGATAGAACGAGAAACGAAAGAAAAATTGACAGCAAATTTAAAGAAAGACGGTTGGGAAGGCAAAGTAGACGCCAGTAGACCATATGGTATTCAGAAAGTCAAATAACTGTAAGCAAAAGTGTCAATAAAACTTAATTAAAGACCACTGATCTGGTCAACCGTTCTTTATATATCCATCCTTAACCGAACAATCCATTTTTACTTGGTAAAACATTTAAAACCGGTAAACGGCGCTGTTTATCTCCTTGCTATAGGTTCCTTGTTTTGTACTATTGGCATGATTAACATCTTCTCCCAATTCCTGGGTGTGATGTTATTTAACAACGTATACGAACGCACCCTCCACCTCACATTTGGTGGTTTCGTGTTCCTTCTATGCGCTGCCATAAAGCTGATTCCTTTCTGTTTCTTCAGGTAAGTAAACATTTCGTTGTAGTCGCAGGACATTTCATCCAGTAAATTGAAGCTAGTGCAGTTAGCAGTAGATGATGATAGGTCATTTGGGACTGCGAAAGAAGATAGAATCTAACGTTTCAAAAACTTTTTAAAAAGATATCAAGAAGCGTCCGTGTATGGAACATACACGGACGCATACACGTGAACATACACGTGATGGGAACCATCCATCCATTTTTTATCAGAATTGTTCAGCATAATCGTCACGCAAGGATTTTTTCATTTTATTCCACATAGGTTTATTCGTGTTTTCCCGTGAGTTCTCAATCACCCATTTCTACTCCAGCTGATTGGAGAAAGGCGCTATATATGAGAGTGAATAGACTGTCGTATTCAGGAACACAACACGATCACCTCATTAATTGTGGGTTCATCGAAGCCATTTGATCCTAAATCCATCGTGATGATCAATGAGCCTCCTGTAATTCAAGAAAAACGGTTAGTTGTTTACTAATTTGTTTGCAGGTGCGTACAGGTGCCACCAACTAAAGAACGTCAAGAAATAAGAGAAGAAATGAAACTGAAGGATGATGAAAAAAATGGTAATAAACAAGAAGACAAGTTGTTCGAGGAAAACGGAAAAGTCGAAGACCAAGAAAACGAAAATGAAATGGAAATGACAGATCAGCAGAAGCCGACGTGTTTGACCCAGACAAAATAGAGCTTGTAAATCCAACAGAGGACTAGGAATATCCACCGGAAATGTTAGGAAAACAAAGCAGAAAAACAGGCCGACGGCCGGACAGACAGACAGACAGACAGACAGTCAGACAGTCAGCAGTCAGACAGTCAAACAGACAGACTGACAAGCCCACAGACAGACAGACAGACAGACAGACAGACAGATAGTCAAGAGAACGGTTACAAAAAATAGATTAAGTTTTGTATTTTTCAAAATGCACTATGACACCCAGAGGCCTATGTCCTTCATTAAGACCAATATAGCCAGCTTAGGTAACATCATCGATAACAGTTAGTCACGTTTTTGGTTAATCGATACTTTTTTTGAATAGTGGGAAGAAATATAAAAGCCATAGGCTAGTGAGATTAATTGAAATAGGAGCGTGAGTTTTATATCCCGTTCACAGCAAAGGTTACACATGTTTTTAAAGCTGTTTTGTGAAACACAGTTTTGATTTGTTTTCTTAATAGATAGAAGCTGCTTAAATCGATGTTTGCCGACTTCAAATGTAGCACATTGAAGAGACAAGTTAGTGACCACTTGAATCCTATGGAAAGTTCAGCTTTTCAGTTCTCAGTTTCTGATTTTCATCCGGTTCAAAACGCGGGTTTTAACTTAATATGTTTTTTTGGTGTGAATGGGGTCTAAATTATTCAGACAACTGAAATATGTTGTAGGGATTATCGGAGATTAGTTGACTTGAGTATGTAGCGGGGCCCACGATGGGGTGATCGCTCTTACTGGTAACGGTTAAATTTGGCCGTTTCCTGGCTGGCTAACGGTTAACCCATCGAGCCCCTATGTATCGTATTAGCCTTTTAGAATTCTACGTATGCACAGTATATACATAGTAACAATGCATGCACCCAACGTTTATAGGACATGATACCCTTAGCAAAGTAGAACTTTTATACAATGTAAATATGAGAACGAGAAGACATTATCTAAGCAAATCGATGGTTTAGTAGGACAAAGTCCGACGTTTTCTCCATCTTCAAAATTATTTTTTTAAGCTTGTTATCCTTTTTGAGTAATAAAAGTACAATTTTTGTACCAATTACTTGTTTTCGATTTACACGGCATCATTTTGAAAGGTTGCCTACCCCTGCCCTCGTAAACCTAAGCAATGATATTTCTGCGAGGAAAAGTTTTTTCTTGAATCAGGCGGAATCGTGAGATGATTGCGAGAAGTTTATCGTCTCCTGTAGCGTCACGACAAGAACTGGAAAAAAAAAACACAAACACAAAAAAAACACAGTCAAAGACTGCATGTGGTTACGGGTATAGCACAATCTTTGTATCATTGAAAAGAACTGGAGGTTTCATAATGACACTAGAAGGTAGTATTGCAGAATAATTGTCTCACATGCAAAAAACTGAGAAAACGTGCTGTATCCCACAGAGTTATGAGTACCCTTTTCCACAGGAGAAAAATGATTCAAGAACATATTGTCTAATTTACATTCAAACAATAAATAAATGATAAGAAATAAGAATATTTGCATTGAGCTAACCGCCTCCCGGTTAGCTCAATGGATAGAGCGCTGGACTGTAGTGCGGGAGGTCGAGGGTTCGAGCCCCGGCCGGACCAACACTCAAGGTCTTAAAATAATTGAGAAGAATTTGCCACCTTTCTATAACATCAAGAAATGGTTAGATATTCTAGTCTTCTCGGATAGGGACGAATAAATGGAGGTCCCGTCTCCTGCAGGGTTGGGGCAGGAGACGTTAATTTCCCACACACGAGATTACTGTGTGATGGATGTCCTCCCCTGGGGTGGGATGGGTGGGTTAGGACAGCAGGTCCACATCAGCTATTACAGCTGCCAATTAATCAACCTGCTTAAACAAATAAATGAACTTCAACTTCAACTTCAACAATG